CCCACCCTTCCTCCAAGGAGCTCAGGTTGCCATACGTTGTTCCCCTTTCGTCCATTTTATGCTCACATCATACCTGTAATTTGAGTTAGGCTCAGCAAAGGCAACTGTCCCTAGGTCTAAGCACTTTGTCCCACTGGCTCTCCAATTGGAAGGGGAAAAAATGTTATCTAATATCTGTTGTTAATATTAAAAATAATTTATGAATCTGGAATTCATTATTAAGAAGTAGTTCTAAAATAAATGTGTGGAAAGACTTAATATATTTCCATTTGAGGATAGCAAGCAGCAGGTTCAGGGTTGCCTATCTTTGTTGTACAGTAAATACAATCACTTTGTAAAAGTGAACATTGCTGCAACTTTTTATAATCTTTGGAATCTTCTGCATAGCCATACTGATCCAATATCTATGTTAAACAGGAAGTAAATATGCATCGCTCATATGGGTCGCCTGTGTGAACAGTACCGTTTTTGTCTTCTGTTCAAAACTGTTCAAAGACTCATTGTGAATGGGAAAAGAGCAATTCCAGTTAATTGTTGACAGCTTATCACTACCATGGATGCATGGAAAGGGCTCATTTGCTCTGTTAAAAAACACATTTCAGTACCAAAGAGTCCGACACAGGCTTCTTGTGTGAACTGCAGGGGCTGGATAAGATGGGGATAACTCCGTATAAACTGCTGCTTAAAGGATGGGCCAGGTACATATGTGATAAATTCATAACTGAGAATTACAGAGTAAGAGAAAACTATAACTGATAAAATTATTATATGCCTATTTTCCTGTTCCTGGCTGAAGTCCACAGAGAAGCCACTGCTTACTATAGGCAACATCAAGTAACGTGCAGTGTTAGTCTTGAATCCTGACTCAGAATAATACATGGTGTAAGCTGGAGGGTAACTGTCAGGGTCTGAACTACAGAGCAGGTTACCGGCCATGATATTCTACCAGCAAATTGAAGCTACTGAGGGTTCTAGGCTCCACCTCTAAAGGAGTTCAGCTCTGAGTTAATAGGGCAGCACTGTGTCTCCTGCTGCTTCTTCGACTGGCTTGTAGGAGAAGGTATGGTCTCCAGAAGTTGGAGTTTCTGGAGAAGACTCCTCAGCCACAGAAGTTGTTGAAGAGGAATCATCTCAGATGTAGCATAGTCCCTTTAGCTATGGAAATATCTGCTTCTTGAGAGGTTCACAGGGTCTCCAACATACTCTGTGATGTCCCATGCCTCTTTGCCTGATGCAAAAGGTTCTGAGACTGTTAACATCTGTTTTTCCCTATTATATTGTACACAGGTTTTCATTCATAGACTGAATTATCAGTATCCAAAGGTTGTCAGAAATTAAGCTCAACATCATAAATATATACATAATATGTAAGAATGCAGGCTTGGCCAAGTTAAGGACCTTTAAGTCCCATGGTAAGTGATTTAATGGTAAGAAATATAAGCACTTGTTTTGCTTTTCCACTGTAATCAGTGTGAAAAGACTGTGCCCTAATTCTTTGTCAACATAAATTATCTTACCAACTATTAATAGATGGGGTTCCATTTTATCTGTTAAAGTTTTATTAATTTTTTCTTTAAAAATAAGTTTTCACACCACGAGCTAGTATGCTGTAGGGTTGTGCTACATGACTAAACTTGGCAGGCCTGGGTTCAGTCTCCACTAAAGCATGGAACTCTGTGACTGACATTGAGTTAGTAATTTCTCTTAGCCAGACAGAATTACTGTGGAGAAGGAGGGCACAATTTTGTATGTCATCCTGAGCTTCTTGGAGTAAAGTGGGATAAAAATGATAGATAAATATAAGCCAGTTTTGTTTCAGTGAGATGGCATTTTTTTTGTTGTTTTTTTGCCTCGTAAGTCTAAACATAAATGCCTCAAATTGGTGTCATACTATTTCAATACGAGCACTTACAGTGAGGTTCATAAGGAGGAGGTGGGTCTCCACAAGGAACACATTCCATATCTTGAAAGCCTCCAAGCTTTGTCTTTCTGTAGAATCTGGAAGACAAAGGAACAGACTGCTTATTCATTGGTTAATCAATCCACACATTCCTAACACAGTCCACACATGGCCATAATTTCGTAGATTTTGGGAGCAGCTGTAAACAGACCTACTTAGAAATGAGTCCCATTTTATTCAATGGGACATACTCCCAGGAAAATGTTCTTAAAACTGCAGCCATAATAAAATATAATAGTTCTTAAAATAAGTGAGATCATGGAACATCAGTGGCTGAGCTGGGAAGTAAAATGTAGACCTATGAATGGTTCTAATGACTTTCCAGGTCCGTCTGTCCGTCCTTCCTTCCTTCCTGAAACATGATGTGGCACACTTATACAAGGAGGTCTCCTATTCCAGGCAGTGATCAGACCTAAAACTGTTCACCTTTTTCAAGGCTGCTACACCATGTACCTTTCAATCATATTTAAACAATACGTATAATGAGTATTTAAATGTAATCCTACGCAACTTCTCAAGCATTATATATCTAGAATTCTGTTAAATTTTCACCCATTGAGTCTAACAGACAGGTGCTTACGGGAATATTTCAAAATCTGCCATGTGTTTATAACCCTACTAAACAGTGGAAATCTATCTAATGTAACCCTATGTGTGTAGATGTGAAAGAGACAGACTCAGTAGCTCTAAATATTCCAAATGAAGGGCAGAGATGAGCAGAATAGTGGTGTGGGGACAAAATTAGTATAAGAACATAAGAACAGCCCTGCTGGATCAGACCAATGGTCCAGCATCCTGCCTCACACAGTGGCCAATCAGTTCCTCTGGAGGGTCAACCACAGGGCACAGAGGCCTTCCCCTGATGTTGTCTCCTAGCTCTGGGATTCAGAGAAGTAGTGCTTCTGAATGTGAACGTTCCCCTCAGTCACCATGCCTAGTAGTTACTGATAGACGTATCCTCCATAAATCTATCTAAACCTTTTTAAAAGCTGTTTATTCCTGTTGCCATCACTACATCCTCTGTCAGCAAATTCCACATTTTAATCACTCTCCGTGGAAAGTAGTATTTCCTTTTGTCCACCCTGAACTTTCTGCACATCAGGTTCGCTGGATGCCATTGAGTTCTAGTATTTTGGGAGAGGGAGACAAATTTCTCTTTGTCAACTCTCTCTACCCCATGCATAATTTTATAAACCTCTATCATGTCCCCACCCTTAGTCATCTCTTTTCTAAACAGCAAAGTCCCAGACTCTTCAGCCTCTCCTCATAGGGAAGGTGCTCCAACACCCTAATCATCTTGGTAACCCTCCTCTGTACTTTTTCCAGCTCTGTGATGTATTTTTTGAGATACAGTGAACAGAACTGTGCTCAGTATTCCAAATGAGGCCTCACAACAGGGGTATTATAGTATCAGCCATTTCCTTTTCAGTGCCTTTCCTAATAATACCTAACATAGAGTTTGCCTTTTACACTGCTGCAGCACACTGGGTTGACACTTTCATTGAGCTATCCACTACTACCCCAAGATCTTTTTCCCTCTCACCAAGTTCAAACTCTAACAGCCTATACGTGAAGTTGGCATTTTTTTGTCCTAATCTGCATCACCTTACACTTATCAACAGTGAACATTGTCACCCACTCACCTGATTTGTGGAGATCCTCTTGAAGCTCTTCACAGTCAGCCTTGGTTTTCACCATCCTGAATAAGTTTGTCTCTTCTGCAAACTTGACTACTACACTAGTCACCCCTAGTTCCAGATCACTTAGAAATAAATTAAATAGTATCAGCCCCGATATCAATCCTTGTGGGACCCCACTGCTTACTTTCCTCCATTGTGAGAATTGTCCACTGATTCCTACTCTTTGCTTCCTATTATCCCAAGACTGTTAAGTTTACTCAGGAGTCTTTGGGAAGGTACCTTGTCAAAAGCCTTTTGAAAGTCCAAGTATATGTCTGCTAGGTCACTGTTGTCCAGGGGTCGTTTCGTAGAAAAAGAGCTAGGGGGACTCATTAGCATAACTCATTAGCATATGCCACACCCCCTGACATAACCGGAAGTGTGTCATAAGGCCACACCCCCTGACATCACTGGATGTGTGTCATAAGGCCACACACCCCGCCCCCAATGGTCCCAGCCGCCGCTGGCCTTGCAGCTCCACTGCTGAGCCCCATGAGGGGCCCGGCGGTGGACCTGCAAGGCCGGCGGGTGTGCAAGGAAGCCCCGTGAAGGCCCTCCCTGGCCCCAGGCAGGCAGGGATGGGGAGAGGCAGGGAGGAAGCAACTTACCCTCCCTCTTCTCCTGCCTCCTCCTGGCTGAATGAGGGTCGGAAGCAGGGGGCGGGGCTTCGTCATATGCCCCGCCCCCCGTACCTCACTGGGGGAACTGCGATCCCCCGCGATCCCCCCCCCCCGAAATGGCCTCTGCAGAAAATCCTGGGCTCACTTTCTTATTTATATTGATCTGGTTTGGTTCTCTTTATCGATGCCCTAGCTTTCTCCAGTGTGTGTGTGTGTGTAGCTGCATTCTCTGTCCCTCTCTCTCTTTCTGTTTCTCTCTCCCTTTCTGTCGGACTCGGCTGTGCGACTGAACAACAACAACAAATATGCATACAATAGGCGATCAGGTTAAATATAGATCGGAAAATAAAAATCAATATATGGTAAAATCGGAGCTACGGTGCAGGAAAAAGCATAAAAACAGGAAAACCTAGTGGTTACTCATCAGAACGTATAGCCATAGCACTAAGAAGAAACCTAGAAGCAAAATATTCACTGAGTTTCTCTTCCATCGTCCCATCTTCCTTTAGCAATCCCTTGATTCCTTCGTCCTCCCAAGGTCCAACTACTTCTCTGGCTAGTTTCTTGCTGAGGATATATTGTTTTAAATGTTTATTGTCTGTCTTGATGATTTTAGCAACCCACTCCTCAAAACCTTTTTTAGCATGCCTAATTATTGACTTACATTTCTTTGTCAGAGCCTGTGGTACCTCCTGTTCAATTCACTGGGACAGAAGTCTCTTTACTTTTTATAGCTTCCTTGACTTGTGTTGTTAACCATGCAGGCCTTCTTTTAGACTTGGCAGTGCCCTTCCTAAACTGTGGAATGCATTCTATCTGGGCTTCAATTGGTGTGGTTTTAAATAGCTTCCAAGCATCCTCTTGGGATCTGACTGTCTTGTGTTTCCCTTTCAGCTTCCTTTTAACTATTCTAATTTTTGTAAAGTTCCCTCTTTTGAAAACAAATGTTATAGTTTTGGACTTTAGGGGTAACTTTCCATTGACATGAATGCTGAACTTGATAGCATTGGGGTCACTGCTCCCAACTGATGCAACAACCTCTACATCTCTTACCAGGTCCTGAGACCTGCTCAGAACCAAGTCCAAGATCACTGCCCCTCTGGTTGGCTCTGTGACCAACTGTTCCAGTACACAGTCATTTATGTCTAGGAATCTCATTTCTACAGCAGGACTCAAGCACATGGTTTACCCAGTCAATATGACGGTAGTTGAAGTCTCTCAGTATAACATTATCTGCTTTAGGCACCACCCTTATTTCCTTCTCCATCTCAAGATCAGTCTTAAAAGTTTGATCAGGAGGGCAATAGTACACCCCCACTGTAAAGTAACCCTCAGGGCCCAGTATTTCCACCCATATTGCTTCTGTTGGGGAGTTAATTCCCCTGATGTTTTCTAACTTACTGGATTTTATGCACTATTTGACGTACAACGCAACACCTCCAACAACTCATTGCTCCCTATCCTGCCTATAGCACATGAACACATGTAACTGCTTTTCATTGGATCAGATTATAAGTCTACCAAAATCAGCACGGTCTGCTCTAACTGGCAGAAACTCTCCAGGGTTTTTCACATCATTTTTTACCTGATCCTTTTAGCTGGAGATGCCAGAGACTGGATCTGGGCCTGCATGCAAAGTAAATGCTCTCCCCTGAGCCACACCAAACCCCGTTGTTGTGAGCCAACTGAGTGATACTAGGCTTGCAACTATTTGTGACTGGGAGGCAAGAGGAATGTAGACTTGTTAATTACTTGCAGCAGGGGTCATTTCCTGCCGGAGCACACAGGAGCTCCGGCAGTAAAGAGCCCAGGGGGCGGGCACATGCAACAAGCCCCACCCTCTGCTCCCAGCAGCCCTCAATCAGAGAAAGAAGCAGCCAGGTCAGCTGCAGAGCCTCCCTCCCTCGGCCCAAAACAGTCCAGTGGCACCTTTAAGACCAAATTTTATTCAGGTACAAGCTCTCCCTCCTCTGCGAGGACAGATCTGCACGGCCCCCCCCCCAATAGCTAGCAAGCCAAAACAGTCCAATGGAGCCTGAGCGGTGGGTGTTGCCTTCTGACACCCTTCTGGTGATGTCAGGGGGTGTGGCATATGCTAATGAGCTCCTGCACCTCTTTTTCTATGAAATGACCCCTGACTTGCAGTATGTAGATCTCATTGTTTTGAAATACCCATTCAAATAGCTTTGAAATAATTCCACTGTAAATAATAATTTGTAGTGGGAACTGCTGTCAAGTTGCTGTTGACTTATTATGACCCTGTAGGGTTTTCAAGAAAATAGATGAACAGAGGTGGTTTACCCGTGTCTGCTTCTGCATAGTAACCTTGTACTTTCATGGTGGTCTCCTACCCAAGTACTAATCAGGGCTGAACTTTAGATTCTGCAGTCTGATAGGATTGTGCTAGCCTGGGCTATCCAGGTCAGGGCAAATAAAAATTTCTAGTATTTAATCACACTGCTGATTATTTGACATTAACATGAAATCAGTGCTTAAGATTTAGTGCTCAATTTTATCAACAAACAAAATTTTATCAACAAACAAAACAGAAAGATAAAGTGATTTGTAAATAGTGATAGCTTAAACCAAGGTATTTGGGAATCTAAATCCAAAGACTGTTATACTAATACAGCAGACAAATTATTTGCAATTCTTTTCAAAACTCACCCTGGTAAGCAATCTCCACAAACAGCGTTGCTGGTAGCAGAACAATTAGCTTTCTGAAATCGATTTACTAGAGCACAGTCCAAACATGTTTTGCATTTCTGATAGCCCCAGTCCTCCTTGAATCTGTTCGGCCTGCATGTCATGCATTGTGCATCCTCCCCATATCCGAAACCACATTCCTGTAAGGATTAGCAAGCAAGAACAAGCTATTCAGAAACTTGGAACTGTGAGTAAGGGGAGACTGCAGGGATCAAATGAAGACCCAGAGTAATTATTTCTGAGAATAAGTCTTTCTAGTGACAAAAGCAATCCTTTCTGCAGGTTCAAATGTGTCTTCTGCTGCTAATAAGCTCCCTTACTTCTATAAGCAATGCTTAGTCATCCATTTTATTTGAGAACTCACTGAGCATTTGAATGATAAAGGATTCTCAAGACTCCCACAGCTACATTATTACGAGTTTATGGTAGAAACGAGCTATCCAATTTTTAATTAAGTCAGGTAGCTGGGATGAAAAAAGCTTTCAGAAAGTCATACCAAAAGAAGAAAAGTAAAAGACTGATATAAAGGTTTATACTTAAAATGGAAAAGTAAATAATAGCAACTGTTCAGAAATGTTCCTTATTCTACTCAGTGTTCATGCACTTAATTTCCTTAAATGTATGAATAATTCCGACATTAATGGCTTCTGTTAACTTTTTCCCTGCAACCTGCCCTGATACTAATCACTGAGCTTTCATGGACATCTGTTCAGTTAACTAATGGATATGAAGTTCAGTTGACTAATGAATATGAATGCTGCATATTGTTGTTAAAGTGGGCTGGGCTGCCCTATCTGTGGATGTCTACGTTGCAAGGCCTAGTTTATATAAAATAAGAGTGAACATGGTTTTTGTAATAACCATAAAATATTTCTGTATTAAACTGAATAAGGGTGCATGGCTTCAAATAATGCCTTTTCTCAAAAACATATTCTAAATCCAGAGCAATAAGGTGTCTTATATAAATACTAAGCAACTGTATTATGTTTTCATCTCTTATGTTCCATAGCAGTTCATGATTTTGAGGAGCTGATGTCATTAACGCAAGGGATCTCATTTTATGATAAGTACATCCAGCCATCACTTTTTCAAGATTAAAGACCGCAAGTTCTTCTGTGGGCATCCTTCAATCCAAATGAACTTTTTATACAGTTCTACTGCCAAAAGAGATCACTCCAGCCTTTCTTACAACAGCTATAGCCATCAGTCAACCCTCTGCTTTTCCTTTAGGCAGCAGCTGAAGACACCCTCATTTGGCTTTCAATGCCTTTTGGAGGGTATTGGCAGAATATTATAAGTATGCTGTTGATCGTGGAGCCAGTCAGAGCCTGCCTTAGCGGGGAGGGCGCGGGCGGGGTATAAATTGGAAAAATAAATAAATAAGCTATGTTAGTAAAAAAAACCCCACATGACTGTTTCATTTAAATTCTCATTCAGATTTCTTCATAATATTGGCGTAAAGAAGTTCTAATTTCTGTTCTGCATTGGACAACAACCACTCTGAGTAAAAATCAACTCATAATTACATTCATCTCTACTTAAATACACTACAGACCTCAAGCAGAGTCTGTTCCTTGAAAAAATTCAGTGGGCTTAAGAGCTGAAACATTTATGTTTGTTTTTCCCTCACAATGCTAGTTGTTTTATGTAACCAAAGAAGAATGATCTCTGAATATTTGTTTCATTTCATAGTAAAATGGGGTTGCACTTACCTGTAACTGTTGTTCATCACATCAAGTGGCCTTCTGTGGAGGCACAAATGGGACTGCAAGGTGGCAGGTCTGCCGCGGATAAGAGTTTCCAAGCCTTTAAAGAAGTTTCCAGGCTCTAATAGTGCTCCCCCTTCCCTCTGTCTGCAGAGATCCCTTTCCTGCCCAAAGGGTCATGTGACAGAGGCGGGGCAAGCACTCCTTCCTCAGTTCCCTTCACTGCCATGAGGAGCTTTTGCTCATTTGGTAGCCCACAGTGGAGAAGGAGAGATGTGTGCCTGCACAGAAGTCCACAATGGTTACAACCCCATTTTCATTGTTGTGGCTTCTGTGCAGTCCTACATGGGAGAATAGCAAGCTCACTTACCAGAGGGGATGTAGGCTGGTCAGTGAAACGTCACCTGTAACATTGCCTTTCCCACTGCAGCTTCGTTTCTGGAGTCCACATCCAGCAAATAGTGCGTGACAAAATTCAAAGCAATGGACCATGTTGGTCCTTTGCAAATGTCCTCCACAGCAAGTCTGGCTCGGAACGCTGCTGAAGAAGCCTGTGCCCTTGTGGAGTGAGCTTTCAGAGGAATGGGCCAAGACACCTTAGCTTCAGCATAAACTGCTCTAATTGCCGAAACCACCCATCTAGAGAGAGACTGTGCTGATGTGGCTCTCCCTTTATTTGACCCCCTGAAACATATAAATGAGTTTCTGCCTTTCCTGAATTCCTGTGTCCCTTTTAAACAAAAAAGGAGTGCCCTCCTCACATCTAAAGTGTGTAATGTTTGTTCCATATTGTGGATGGAAGAACACTGGAAGGTTAAAGTCTTGGTCAAGGTGAAACTGTGACACCACCTTGGGGAGAAACGCTATACTGGGTCTGAGGACTACTTTCTCTGGGTGGAATTTGATAAAGGAATGATCATAGTGAAGAGCCCGTAGTTCTCCCACTCTTCTAGCAGACATGTCTAGGGGTGTGTGCTCTGTATATACCGAGCTGAATAAATGCCCGAAAAATACCTTATTGGTATTTTTCAGGTATTTATTCAGTCAATAGTGATCTTTAAATGCCTTTTGGTGCAACTTGGTGAGTAAACAGCAAGCATTTAAGCTTGCTGAGTTCACTCACTGAGTTGTGCTACTGTCACAATATTTTTTCGAGTACAATAGACCCAAATTGGGGGGGGGGAATGATTTGTTTTGCATATCCCTAGATGTGACTGCCACTAAGAAGGTCATCTTGCATTAAATAAAGGACAAATCAGAACTGGCCATAGGTTTTTATGGTTTATACATTAATTTTTGATAAAACAAGCTTCATAGGAGAAGTGACATCAATGTGACAACAACTGAGCCGGACTGCAGTGGGAGCATTTCACCTTTTTCTTAGCTTTCTTCAGAGGCGGTTCCAAAGCCAATTTGACAGCAGCGGGTTGGGCTTGTGCCTCCAATGCCAAGGGTGTTGGTGCTGAAGTCACCGAATGGGCCCTTGCTCCCTTATCAAATTGGGGCCGCTTTTCCCTGCAGGGGTCTGGGGCACTCCCAATTTCTCACCATGCCCCCTAAGGAGAAACATGCCCATTGGGAAGGCTATTTATACTGTTCCATTGGGCTCATCCATGTTGTACTGGAAGCGCTCGAAGAGTCCCAGAGATGCAGAATGACTGTGGAGACAATCTCTCACACCTCTTCCCAGGTCAAAGCTTAGGAGGAGGGCTGAAGCTTTTTTATAGCGTACTACACATGGAGCTGATAAGTACAGCAGAGTATTGTCCCAGTTCTTATGCAGCATTTCAGAGCTAGTCTGACTGCCTTCTAAATTCAGTGTGATGTCACATACAAGACCATGCCTTTCCCCCTTTGAGTGTGGGCAGCTGCTGGCAACCACAAATGTTGAAGGCTACTTAGGGAAGCCAAAATTTGTGACCCCCTGCCATTCACATGGGAAAGTATGCAAAAATTCTGATAACTCATTAAAGAGTTCATTTAAAAGCCTGCAAATTCTCACATCTATAAAAGACCTAATAATCATCTATATCCTAATAGCAAAGTTGGCCAAATCTCTGGATACTTAAATCCAGAGACTGGAGCTGTGAATGGGCAAGACAGATCTTTCTACAAACCTGAACAATGCCCCAGGTTGTAGAAAAATCTGCAAAATTTGAAATCTAGAAAAAAAATACATTGTGGGGTTTTAAAAAACACCCAAATAATAAGGAGCAGCTGTAGCTGTAAAAAACAAATTCCTCAGTGGCTGTTGCTAGGCAACAACAGCATTCCAATACTTGGTTCTACCAAGTAAAAGGCAGGGAGAGGGAGCAGGGCCCTTTTCAGGACTGCTTTGGCCTTTGAGGGAAAACTCATTGGGGCCAGGCCTGGCTACAGTAGCAAGCTCCAGGCTGGGAAATTCCTGGAGATTTTGTGGTGGAGTCTGAGGACGGTAGGGTTTGGGAAGGGGAGAGGCCTCAGCTAGATATAAGTTTTCCCTCCGATGGTCGTGGCCCCGCCCCCAACGTGCTCGGCGTCCTAACGTCACTTCCGGGTGACGCGCACGTCTGGGCGGAGTTCCCCCGGGACCTGTTCCGCCGGCGTCGGGGAACGGGCCTCTGGGGCGGGGGTTTCCCTGCCCCCCGGGGGGACTTGGCAGCCCTATTTAGTTGAAAGCATGCTGGATAAGTGGCCATGTTGTGGCCCTCTCCCTGTCGTAGCCCAGCTGGTCTCACAGGCTCCAAGTCCAAGTCCAGGTCACGCAGGCAGGAGCAGGTCAAAGGAATGTTCACAGCATAGTCCAAACAGTTCAAGGTTGGTTGTTACAGTCCGAGAGAGTCCAAAAGTAGAGTCAAACTGGTCCAAGAGTCACAGGATTGGAGCAGTCAGGAGTTGTGGTTGCAGGATTCACTCTGAACAATGCCCCAGGTTGTAGAAAAATCTGAAAAATTTGAAATCTAGAAAAAAATACATTGTGGGGTTTAAAAAAACACCCAAATAATAAGGAGCAGCTGTAGCTGTAAAAAACAAATTCCTCAGTGGCTGTTGCTAGGCAACAACAGCATTCCAAGACTTGGTTCTATCAAGTAAAAGGCAGGGAGAGGGAGCAGGGCCCTTTTCAGGACTGCTTTGGCCTTTGAGGGAAAACTCATTGGGGCCAGGCCTGGCTACAGTAGCAAGCTCCAGGCTGGGAAATTCCTGGAGATTTTGTGGTGGAGTCTGAGGACGGTAGGGTTTGGGAAGGGGAGAGGCCTCAGCTAGATATAATGCCATAGAGTCCATCCTCCAAGGCAGCCATTTTTTCCTGTGAGACAGATCTCTGTCATCTGGAGTTGAGTTGTAATTCTGTGAGATCTCCAGGTCCCACTTGGAGGTTGGAAGCCCTAGGCGTGACAACAACCTCTGGGTGATTTGATACCTCCCGACTTGGCATGACTCAACTAGGCCTGGCTATCTGCTGCTGTTCAACAGCAGCCATTGTATGAAAGCCAGTGTAGTATAGGGGCTGGAGCTTCAAAGTACAGTCTGGGAGACACAGATTCAAATCCTCCCCATCTTTCTGTAGAAGCTCACTGGGTGATTTTGGGGCCAGTTCCATACTTGGTTCTGGGGTATAAATGGTGTATAAAGGGGGGGTATAAATGAAATAAATAATATGACTGAAGATGGGAGGCAAATAAAAGGTAGGTTGATGAATGACTGAGAAGGAGAGAATGAGGCAGAGAAAGGGGAGAGGGTATGGTGATTGCTGGGGGGAGAGAAAGAGGAAATAATATGGGAAGGAGGATACATGGGAAAGTGAGGTGCCACAGCAAAAGTCCTTGAAGGTTCCCTGCGATGCAAGTGAGCCTGCCCAGTGGCCACACAACAACCAGTTTTCCTAGGCATAGGCTGCTGTGGGGAAGGAAAAGTTTAAGACAGAGGGGCAAATAAAGGGTGGAGTGGGGAGGAGATAGGGTTGCCAACTCGACATTGAGAAATTCCTAAAGATTTGGGGGCTGGAACCTGGGGAGGATGGGGTTTGAGGAGGGGAGAGACCTCAGAAGGGTATAATGCCATAGAATCCACCCTCCAAAGCAGCTGTTTCTTCCAGGGCAATTAGGGTCACCAACCTCTAGGTGGGGCCTGGAGATCACCCAGAATCACAGCTGTTCTCCAGATGAGACAGAGATTGGTTCCCCTGGAGAAAATAGCTGCTTTAGAGGGTGGACTTTGTGGCATTATATCCTGCTGAGGTCACTTCTCTCCCCAAACCTTGCCCTATCAAGGCTCAGCCCACAAATCTTCAGGAATTTCTCAGTGTGGAGCTGGCAACCCTAAGGGGGGGAACTACTCTCTGTAGTTGGGAGACCTGTTGTGATTCCAGGAGATCTCTAGGCCCCATCTGGAGGTTGCCAACTCTAGAAGGAGAGAAGGAAGCAGGAAAACGGGAGAGGCTATGGGGGCTTTCAGGAAGAAAGAGGAAATAGTGGGGGAGGGGGAAATGAGATGCCTCCCACAAGTCCTTGAGGGTTCTCTCTTTTTATATTTCCTACTTTCTCAGAACAACAAAGAAACAGGGAGCAACAGAGAAATACCGTGTATACCAAAGTTAACAGTATAACATAGAAGTGGCTATAATTTCAAGTCTGCAACCCCATCTTTTAAACAAGTTTTGTTGTTTTGTTTTAGTTTCTTGGGATAAAGAGTTGTGTTTATTTATAGGCAGACAGTAACTAACTGCATATGTCCATCTGCTGAACTTTAAAAGTAAGCCTGGGATCCACAGAACTACAGATCCATGAGACTATTCTTGTACTTATTAAACAGTAATCCCATTGCTTTTAGCAAATTGCTTTTTAAACTGAGGTGACTCAAAATAAAAAATCCTACTGGGCATGCCTAAAGCAGCTTTGGATCACAGCCTGAGTTAGCACACACTATTTAAATATGATTAACTGTAACAGAAATTTATACTTTTATTATACCTCCACACCTATATATTCATACAATTATCAAATAATATAAAATACATGAAAACGATAGCATTATTGGAATATAAAAATGCCTATCATTCTTTCATGTGTCAGAAACCATACAGAAGATTTATTAAAAGCAGTTGTAACTGTCTGCTCCTAAATCCTCTGAAAAACTGTGTATCTTAAACAAAAGTGGTGGTATGGTGATGAAAGGCTGTATTGTTGTTTAAGACACAAATCCTTCCAGAAACTTTTAAGCTTACGGATTTTTGAGCAAATCTTTTCAAACCACTCAGAAACCACAGAGCTTCAGTTTTGCTATTTTCCCCCCAGAGCTAAATATAGCAAAGAATATAAAACCCACACATTATAACTTTTCTGAAAAATGAAAGGAACAGCCTTAGATGTTACTTCTAAACAGGAAATCTACAACAGACTTCTCTCTTAACCTTAATAATTGTATAAAATGACTTCACTCGGTGAATAAAATTAAAAATCTGATGAACATTTGTAAGTTCTTTTGCACTACATAAAGCAGCTCAATAACATATATATTGAGAAGCATTTTGAGTTATTTACAATTGTTGCAAAAATATGATAAAATCAAGATAATATTTTACAGAATAGTCATATACATGCCTTTGACAGTTCCATTCCAGGTCCACACTGTTTGCACAGCACACAGTTTCCATCATGATCTCTGAACTCTTGCTCTCTACAATCTCCCGTCTCACAAATTATTGTATGTGACTAAAAATAAAACATAAATGTAATTAAACTTACGCTTCAGTTAACTTGTTTCATTTGAAACCTCCAATATTTTTTTAAAAAATGGATTTATCATCTGAGCTTGGATGGATGTTGACTTCAGAACACTTAGTTTAAGTAGACATATCTTTCTTTTATTTCAGATATTTTAAATGTATTTAGAAGAAAGGTCACACAGGTAATATGCCTTTGAGACATCACAGAATATGATTTAGAGCCTGATGTTAAACATATTTACTTGGCCATAAAACCCTACTAATTTCAATAAAGCATACTTCCAAGTATGTATTCTGAATTGCATATGATATTCACAATTCAAAGAATCTCAGGCACATTAACTCCCACTTAAATTAATGAGATGATTCTTAATTGTGTGTTTAAGTCCCACTAATGCCACAGGAGTTTAAGAACACCTGACTTCCAAGATTTTTCAAACAAAAAAAGATGGCTAAGTAAGTTTCATATGACTCCAGGCCAGAGTTCTGTCAATGAGAGGTAGCTAGTGGTTTGTGGGTCTTCAATTTTGAACCAATCTTGAGCCAAACACCATATTTATATATCAAAATATGAACCTATATTTCCTGGTCATAGGAGAAAATGAAGTTGCTTGGAGTTAATTCACAACATCTTTCTGACAGTCTACATTTTATAATAATAGTATTTAACAAGCCCTAGCCAGTTATTCTACAACTGCCACAGATTTATTAAGGAATAAGAACTACAGTTGAAAATTTAGGCAAGGGGTACTTCCACTCTAGCAGAGGGGCTCAAAAACATATATCTCACAGTAAACTCATTCCAAGACCAATGCCTTCAAGTTACTTAAAGTTAGTTAATTTACAGTGCCATCCTAAGCAGAGTTTACACCCTTCTAAGTCAATTAAAGTTAGTGAGCTCAGAAGGGTGTAACTCTATTTAGGATGACACTGGCCCCGTTCATACGGTGCAGTTAGGGCTGGGAGTGGGCCAGATTGGAAGTGCATCAAACGGGCGCGATCCCACGCCAACATCTGGCTGGCGTCGCGCTCCCGCCTTCCTCCGATGAAGCGTATCAAAGATGAACCACCTACCTTCGGCGTCTTGCCGCCGTCGCATCCTCCGTGGGATCCCGCCGGGGCGTTTCTTTTTTGCCGCGGCTTTTAAAAGCCGCGCTTCGCCCCGTCTTTTCCCTGCCGTGTGGCAGGGGCCACTGTTAGTTATTCCAGACTTCAAGAGGCTGCGCTTGTGTAACATACTACATCATAAGCTCATGACTTCCTATGGATACTTTCCATTACCTCAACCCAGGGGTCATTTTGTAGAAAAAGAGGTGTAGGAGCTCATTAGCATAACTTATTTGCATATGCCACACTCCCTGACATCACCAGAAGTGTCTTTTCAATCTGGATCCAGACCCATTAATGGTACAGACACTGCCTTGGTTGTTTTGTCAGATTATCTATGCCAGTTGACAGTCAGGGACAGTGCATCCTTGTTGATCATCCTGGACCTCTCAGGGGCTGTTCATACAATCCACCATGGTGTCCTTCTGGTTTGCCTGGCTAGACTGGGTCTAGGAGACTCAGCATTATGATGGTCTCATTCTTTCCTGACAGACCTTTGTCATTGACCTTTGGGGCACTGCTTGGATTGAGCTGGGAGATCATTTGCAGATTAGAACTTGGTTGTCTTGTCAGATTATCTATGCCAGTTGACAGTCAGGGCCAGTGCATCCTTGTTGATCATCCTGGACCTCTCAGGGGCTGTTCATACAATCCACCATGGTGTCCTTCTGGTTCGCCTGGCTAGACTGGGTCTGGGAGACTCAGCATTATGATGGCCTCATTCTTTCCTGATAGACTTTTGTCATTGACCTCTGGGACACTGCTTGGATTGAGCTGGGAGATCATTTGCAGATTAGGACAGTGTCATCAGTGTCTTTCAATCAATTTCCAGGGAGGCTGTGGAAATGTTAAACTGATGTCTGGAAAAAATAAAGGACTTGATAAAATTAACAAATTGAAGCTTAGTCCAGACAAGATGGAAGTAATGCAGGTGAGAACTGTGTTCTGGAATAGGGGTTCTCCCAATATTGAATGGGATTACATTCCTCATGAAAGGCTGGTTGCATAGCTAGGAGATACTTCAAGGCTCAACACTGGCTTTAGATAATCAAGTATCAGATGTAACTCATCTGTTGTGACTTCTGGAGAAAGCAGACCTAACCACTGTCACACCTGTTGTGACTTCTCCTGGAGAAAGCAGACCTAACCACTGTCACATATGTCTTTTATTTGCCATCAAGTCGCAGCCAACTTATGGTGACCCCTTATGATTTTCAAGGAGAAAGACTTTCAGAGATGGTTTGCCATTGCCTGCCTCTGTGTAGAGACCCTGATACTCTTTGGTGGTCTCCCATCCAAATACTAACCAGGGCCAACCCTACTTAGCTTCTAAGATTTGATGAGATTGGGCTAGCCCTAGTAACATTCAACTGATTATTGTAATGTGATCATGAGACTGACCTTGAGGACAGTTTGGGAGATTCTGTCTGGCCTAAAATGGCTGTTGTCCTTACAGAGACTTACAGGGGCAATCATACTCAGCCAGTGTTATACCAGTTTCCAACTTGTTTTGGGACTCAAGATAAGATACTGACCTTCACAGCTCTAAATGTTTTAGGCACAGAGTATCTGAAGGATTGCCTCCATCCATATCAACCGACCCAAGACTGACCTGGGTGATTTTCTCCAGGAGCCAGTCTCAGTGGCAGTTTGGCAAGCAGAAATGCAACCCCCTGGGCTGCAGAATTCCTTTCTTCAGGAGGTGACAGTGGCTGGTCACTAAAGACCTTCCAAATGGGTCTGGAGCCATTCCTTTTATCGAGGTCTTTTAAGTTGGATAAATGAGAAATAGCATTAGAGAGGGGAGTGGATGGTTGGCATTACAGAAAAGGTTTTGTTGTATGATGTTTTGAAGTGGTTTTATTGCTTTTATTTATTTTACTGAATAAGCTGTAAACAGAGGGACATTTTTAGCTAAAAGGCAGTCTATAAACAAACTAAATAAACAGTGTTGTTCATCTACTTACGAAATATGTTAGAAGTATCAGCACCTTCCATATGGTATATTCCAGCTGTAAACTGCTTGTGCCCATTACTGAATGCTTTTCTTTAACAAAGAACTAAATCTGCAGAGGGAGAAAGAAAATAATTTTAAATCTTCAGTGAGCAATGCAGATTGTAATCACGCTACACAACCAATCAGGATGCAGTCATTAGCAATGTCATATCTTGATTCACATCAGTATTATATTTCACCCAGATTAGTCCTGTATAGCAGTGAGACAATCACTGCAAAGCTCCCATAGGGTAAAACTGATACAAAGCCAGAAGAGACAGGGCTGGGTTATCATGCATCTGAAGCATAATCTCCAAGCCCTTGAGAATATGCCCTATTTCTCATGAAGTAAGTAATTTTGTGATTGGCCTGTACCACCACAGGTCTCATGTGACAGAATGCTCCTCAGTGCAAATAATACGCTCCAAAGAGAAAACTAATATCAAGAAGCAGGGTTACAGTTTACCTTGCAACTTAGTTTATTATGTAAAAAGCACTCTCTAGTTTTGCATGGAGCATTTATTCATGTGAGGTCTCACCCACCCTGAAGTTGATTAGTCGACACACAGGTTTATCACTTCCATGAAACAAAGACCTCTGTTTCAGCTATCAAACAGCATTCAAAAGTTGCTAAGCATGGCATCCTGTAATTCATGCTCAGGAACCTGTTCATGACTGCATCAAAAGGACCACACTCTAAATTTACAGTTAGCCAAGAAGCAGAAAAGTAAATAGTTTATTTTGAGGCAAGAGTCAAACCAAACATATACTTGAACTTAAAACCAGACAGAACCTCCCTCCCCCCCCCCCCCGAATAGCATGAGTACGTGAAGCATTATTTGAAAGACTGGCCACTGGGAAAAGTTCTGGTGGGCTGATGGTCTATCACACCTGGACTGCCCTAGTCCCATATGGGACAAGACACAAGACCCATCTCATGTCACCCAGGGCCACCCTACACGGGAGAAGACTTGCCCCATCTGGGGTGGCCCTGTGCATGTTGAGAAGAGTCTAGTCTTGCATACAGGAGCCATGGCACAAGGCAAGGAGTCTCATGTCATGTCCAGCAGCCCCACACAAACTGAGTCACAGTGAGGATGGTTGCATGGCCTTTTCCCCTGGCTCTTTTGGCTTCCCAGTCCACCTCCACTATTGAACATCAACCAGAAGAAGGTGTCCACCCCCCGCTCTTACCACATATCCATTCACTGCTTAAGAATACAGGTTCAACCCAAAAAAATATTACTGAGCCCATCCAGTATGAAATCTTTAATAAAACCTATAAGTATTTTTTAAAACATTCTGTGTTTGTCAAGGTTCTGTGCCCTTTTACGGATGGAGTGCAGTGGATAAGATATAGGCCTGCTACTTTTGGACTTCAATGCACTGTAGCAAACACAGAAAGTTTAAAAAGTGCAAGGTGAAAAAAGACATAACATTTCAAGAGTTGTGGAGGGCATTTGATGGCACTGCTGCTGTCCTCCAAGCCAACTGTGATAGACACCCATGATATCACAATACATATCCAATGCCCAGAGTAGTGCCAATGGAAATTCTAGATGGGATCCCAGCTATAGTCTGGAAGAAGACCTTCTAATTTAGGAGTTCCACAGATTCTGATTTGCTCAGCCGATGAGATCTGGAGATGTTGACTATCTACTATAATAGTTAGTGAAATCTGAAAACAAACAGCTGTAAAAACCCTCAATTGCTGGGAAAATTTGGAGTTTGAGATAATTTCCTCATCTAACAGGATGTCTATTAAATATCAAGTAATAGAGTTTGATAATAACCTGCAAAAGAACCTAAAAGTCTGCTGAAGCACAGGAAGATCAGTTACTGGTGATTGAAACATTATTGTTCTACCATTGTCATAACACAGTTTTGATAACAGGGGTATAAGAACATAAGAGAAGCCAATGTTGGATCAGGCCAATGGCCCATCTAGTCCAACACTCTGTCACACAGTGGCCAAAAATACCAGGTGCCATCAGGAGGTCCACCAGTGGGGCCAGGACATTAGAAGCTCTCCCACTGTTGGCCCCCACAAGCACCAAGAAGACAGAGCATCACTTGCCCCAGAGCCCCTATCTATACCTTGTGGCTAATAGCCACTGATGGACCTCTGCTCCATATGCTTATCTAATTCCCTCTTGAAGTCGTCCATGCTTGTACTGCCACCACCTCTTGTGGCAGTGAATTCCATGTGTTAATTACTCTTTGGGTGAAGAAGTACTTCCTTTTATCTGTTCTAACCCGACTGCTCAGCAATTTCATGGAGTGCCCACGAGTTCTTGTATTGTGAGAAAGGGAGAAAAGTACTTCTTTCTCTACCTGCTCTATCCCCTGCATAATCTTGTAAACCTCTATCATGTCATCCCTCAGCCGTCGTTTCTCCAAGCTAAAGAGCCCCAAGTGTTTTAACCTTTCTTCATGGGGAAAGTGTTCCAACCCTTTTATCGTTCTAGTTGCCCTTTTCTGCACTTTTTCCATTGCTATAACATCCTTTTTGAAGTATGGTGACCAGCACTGTCCACAGTACTCCAAATGAGGTCACACCATTGATTTATACAGGGGCATAATGATACTAGCTGATTTATTTTCAATTCCCTTCCTAATAATTCCCAGCATAACATTGGCCTTTTTTATTGCAGTTGCACACTGTCTAGACATTTTCATTCAGTTATCTACTACGACTCCAAGATCTCTCTCTTGGTCCGTCTCTGCCAGTTCGGACCCCATCAATGTGTATTTATAGTTAGGATTTTTGGCTCCAATGTGCATCACCTTGCACTTGGCCACATTGAACCCCATTTGCCATGTTGACGCCCACTCGCCCATCCTCAACAGATCCCTTTGGAGTGCCTCACAATCCTCCCTGGTTCTCACCACCCTGAACAACTTCATGTCATCTGCAAATTTTGCCACTTCACTGCTTACTCCAAACTCCAAATCATTAATAAAAAAGTTAAAAATATCCTGCTTCTAATGTATTTGAAGAAAGTTTTATTGTTGGTCTTTATGTTTTTTGCTATATGCTCCTCATATTCCCCTTTTGCCTGCCTGACCACAGACTTGCATCTTATTTGCCACAGCCTGTGTCTCCTTTTATCAGCCTCACTGAGACTAGCTTTCCACCACTTAAAGGAATCCTTCTTACCTTTTACAGCTTCCATTACTTTGTTTGTTAACCATGCAGGCTATTTTCTATACCTGTTTGTGCCTTTCCTAACCTGCGGTATATATTTTTTCTGAGCTTCTAGGATTGTAGTTTTAAATAGTCTCCAAACTTCTCCAATGGTTTTGACCCTTTCTACTTTCAGTTTCTTCCTCACATGTCCCCTCATATCAGAGAAGTTACCCCTTTTAAAGTTAAAAGTGGTTGTATCAGTCTTTTGGGGCAACTCCCTATTTATACAAATAAACTCAATAACATAATGGTCACTGTTCCCAAGCGGTGCAATCACTTTTACATCTCTCACCAGGTCTTGGGCGTTACATAAAGGTAAAGGTTTCCCTTACTCGAAAGCCAGTTGAATCCGACTCTAGGGCTGCGGTGCTGATCTCCGTTTCCAAGCCGAAGAGTCAGCGCTGTCCAAAGACATTTCCGTGGTCATGTGGGTGGCATGACTCGATGCCGAGGAGCATGGAACGCTGTTACCTTCCCACCGAAGCAGTACCTATTTATCTACTTGCAATTTCTTGCTTTCAAACCACTAGGTTGGCAGGAGCTGGAACTAGAGATGGGAGCTTACTCCATCATGCGGCACTCAGGTCTCGAACTGCTGAACTACCGACCTTCCAGCTTGCAGTTCAGCGTCTTAACCACTGAGCCATTACTTAGGACCATATCTTTTTGTTTCCTCAAATAATTTAAGATGTTGTGAGTGGGAGCCTGATTTCTGTCTGTATCAGTAGAGCTGAAATACCAGCAGTAAAGAGTTAGAAACTTTTTCTGAAAAATCATTTTAAATAGTTTCCAGACTTGTAATCAACTTGTAATCATTCCAATGACAGATTTGGGCTACTGCCTTACTTTGGAAAAGTTTGAAGGCGAATCAAAACAGCCTTAGAATGCTGTATCTGTTCCTTTGAACTTGAGTAAAGGAAGTTGGAGAGTAGAACAATCTTATCATCTTAAATGTTCACCTGAGGATATAGTTATTTGCTAGCCTGATCTTGTCAGATTTTGGAAGCTAAGCAAGGTCGGACCTGGTTAGTATGCGGATGAGTAACCACGAAAGAAGTCCACAGTCACTACATAAAGGCAGGCAGTGGCAAACCACTTCTGAAATCTCTTGCCTCGAGACCCTAAGGGGTTGCCATAAGTCAGCAACTTGACAGCAATTTCCACCACCACCACCACCAACAACAAAGTGCAGAAAAGGGCAACTTGAATGATAAAAGGGTTAGAACACTTTCCCTATGAGGAAAGGTTAAAGCGCTTAGGGCTCTTTAGCTTGGAGAAAAGACGACTGAGGGGTGACATGAATGAGGTTTACAAGATTATGCATGGGAATGAGCAGGTAGAGAAAGAGGTACTTTTCTCCCTTTCTCACAATACAAGAACTCGTGGGCACTCCATGAAATTGCTGAGCGGTCGGGTTAGAACGGATAAAAGGAAATACTTCTTCACCCAAAGAGTGATTAACACTTGGAATTCACTGCCACAGGAGGTGGTGCTGGCTACAAGCATGGACGGCTTCAAAAGGGAATTACCTAGATAGGCATATGGAGCAGAGGTCCATCAGCTATTAGCCACAAGGTATAGATAGGGGCTCTGGGGCAAGTGATGCTCTGTCTTCTTTGAGCTTGGGGGGGCCAACAGTGGGAGAGCTTCTAATGTCCTGGCCCCACTGGTGGACCTCCTGATGGCACCTGGTATTTTTGGTCACTGTGTGACAGAGTGTTGGACTAGATGAGCCTTTGGCCTGATCCAACATTGGCGTCTCTTATGTTCTTATGATACCTCCATGCCTACTACCCCTCTGCATATTACACCTAATCCAATCAAGCCTGCTATTGTCATTCACCTGC